CTTCTCCCCCTCTTTTCTGCTCACGCTCTCTCTCCAAGACGCCTCCTCACCCCCCCCTCCCCATTTCTCTATCCTTCAAGGTGACTTTTTCGCTCAGCAGCAGCACTGTAAGTGGAGATAAGCGCGATGAGAGAGACGGCAGGGAGGGCAAACGAGGCGCACAGAGGGTATGAGGTTAAGAAGGAGACAAGTGCGTGTGAGAGGGTGTCCACGCCGTGCTCTGGTCCGTGGGCAGCGGCAGCCTCTGCACTCCCCATCGCCGTGCTCTTCCTCCATCATGCCGTAAAATCTCCATATCTTCTGCGTAGTGGCACACATGCACACGTGCAACAGCATGTGCAGAAACATGCAAGCATGCTCAGGAACATAAAGACCATCCTCAGATCTCATATCACTAATCAGTCTAAATTCTGCTTTATTGCTGTTCTTTGTCATGCATTACTATGGAAAACAGGTCTGTGCTTATAGTACGGAAAATCATAGCCGTGGTATAAAATCAGGAATCTAGGGCAAGCTGCTAAATTTAGGGGTCTGACGGAAAGAACTGGAAGCTTGTCAGAGTTGGCGGTATAGGGGGGTTAGGGCGGGGGTTAAAAGCGCCCCGCTCCCATCAGACCGTATCTGCATGCCCAAAGAAATGGGACCTGTCTCGCAGGAGCACCGACCCAAATGTGACGTCAGTTGCTTGCATTTGCAGCAGATGCCCCTAGAACATTTGCCACCATGACGTCTCACATTTGCTATAATGACTTGCTAAGTGCATCTCCCTGTGAGCCGCTGCCAGCCAGGCTGAGCGCCGATTCCTGCGACCCTTGTCTGCGCCTGTCAGGGCTGAGCGCCGCACCTCTGCCATGTCTGCACTGGAGCCCTGCAGAAAACGGTAAACGATCACATGGCTTTTACAGCAAATCGCACACGCGGGCGCGTCTATGATGTAAGCAGGTGCACGCATACTTATGTGTTTTTTCATGCTGTGTGCTGGTGTCATTTGTGTGTGCGTGGGTGGTACCACATCTGTGTGTGTGTTTCTGCAAGTGTGAGTGTTCCACATACACCCCCCCCCTCCCCCCGCCTATATATCAGCTCTCTTCATCCCTGCCACATGCCTGTCTATAGCTTTACCACGCTGCCTTGCTGCAGTCACTGTGTCTTCCTTTCATTTGCTGAGCTCACACTTGATGTGGCATTTTTCAGCTTCCTGCCAACTTGAATTTTACCATACAGAGTCTTCTGGTGCGGCAGGAATGAATCTACATGATCGAGGAGTTAAAATCGGAGTACTTCAGATGAAATAGTCAGTTTTATTTTTGCCCCATCTTCTTTATAAAGATATACATAATTACACATAGAAATAATTTACTGTACAACAATAACATCTGTACAGACATGTACATTGACATGCACATATGTTCACAGCACACATAAGACATGTTTTTACACACTTCCGGTCTGTTTCGTGGGCTGGCTGGAACGACTGAAGTTCAGGTTCTTGTAGTCTTTGATCCGGTGCCAGAAGAGTGTGAATTTTTACATCCCTGAACGTAGACTCAAGATCCTACTGTCGAAGCCCAGGAGGACGGATGCCAGACGGGGCTGGCTGGTGCGAGAACGTTTCCACTCACGGTGGAGCAGAGCAGAGGCATGACAGGGGCCCACAGCCTCTTCAGAGTTCTCCCTCAAGGGGCTTGGGTAAAGAAAATATTACAGTACAAGTAATACATCCCATCGAACAGGTAGTCAGATGTACGCCAAAAAGACAGTTCCGTTAAACATCACTGTAAACATTCCTTGGACACATGGCGGAGATCCCTATCATTCCCTACTGGACTGTATCTATTTATTTCTGAAGCAAGGAAGGTGGTCACAAGCTCAACAATAATGTCACAAGCCCTCTGTGGCCATTCAGAAAAAAAAATCAGCTTCATTACCTATTACAGTTGGAGAGTATTGATGGTGTTGAGCAGTGATCTATTGCAGTGGTGATATATTTTCAATAAGAACTTGGTGGTCCTGCTTGGACAGAGAGGCTGCTGTGGGGTGGGGGCTTTTCTCCAATTGTCTTTGGCATATAAGGTTGGGTCTTGCGGGAGGGGTGCATTTTTATAATATTAACTACTGTCACAACAAATCTGACTTTACAATATAAGGCAATAATACACAAAGAGCTCATAGAGATACTGACATTGACACAAAAGGAATGGATCACAGTAATTACATACATAGAACAAATAAGTCTGCTCAACTACTGCATGAAATTTGTGCGTTGATCAGGCTATATTGACATTACAATATCTTCAACACCACTGGCTGTGGTCATTAAGAGGTCATCAAGGCAAGTCAATGATAACTTTAAAAGTCTGCCTATGAATAAAAGCAGTGAACCGCCCACAGACAGGGACACAAGATTCACGACACAATGGAGTTATTCAGCTAAGTAGCAAACATCTAAATATACTGTCAACAAGATCCTTAAGAACATAAGCCAGGTGCTTAACAAACAATATGCATCGTACAGAATAGGGAAGCAGAGATCAAAGGATGAAGGGAAGCCCAACTTGTGTTCGTAAACACAAAAACAAAGGAAGAAGTGTGAGTCCTGCATACACACATACTGTTTATGAGTTGCACTGGCCTACCTTGATAAACACGCTCTACCAGTTTATGTGGATCAATACCATGTACTGTATTACCATTGTGTTTACTGGGGGACTCCGTGCACAATGTACAACATCTGCTGAACACGGCAAACATTCTCGGACACGATCGGACACTGGGTCAGTGAAGGGCTGTGATTGTCGGTTCCGCGATTGTAGAAAAACTGAAGATGAAGGAGAAACGTTTAGCAAGCTGACTTCAACCTAAAATCACGTGGCCTTACAGGTCTGGTCTATCCCCATGGCATTCGCTTAAAACACAGGGTGCCCATTACTGCCCATTCTCATATGTGCCCAGACTGTTGGAGATACAGGGAAAGGCCCTCCCACACACTGCAGGCAAGTCTACAGGAAACACATTCCTCCGAAGTACATGTACATTGTAATGCATTTAGCACCTGCTTACTCAGGAAACAGTTAAGGCATCTTCAGTCTAATTACAGCTAAATCTATTCTTCACCCTCACAGGAATGAGTTGAGTTTGCACATAGGATCGTGTACTGCTCCTTGTACTTGGTTTAATTAGTGCCAGCCTGATCCTTATTACACTTTTGTTATGTTTAATTAAGGAGTCTGAATGTATGACTGCTTTGCAAAGCATGAGTGGATTTTCACTATGCAGTACTGTGATGTTAATGAACATTTACACTGATTTAAAAATTATTTTCTAGTTACTATGGTTTGGAAGGCATTTTTATTATGATCTCTGGTTCTTTCTGCCCCTTATTGTTAGCCTTTGTGAATGGATTTGGCTTTATTTATCTTATTATTATTATTATTATTTCGTACAGCCTATTTGAGTTAATAAATGTAGAGGTTCAGATTAATAAGGACAAAATCAGTCTGAAATGGTAGAAAATGTTCAGTTTTTCGGTTTAAAAGATTCCTCCGTTTGCCATTTCTACTGATAAAGATGGGTTTCTACTCAAAGTGTAGCCTTCGTCTCCGAGGAAATCGTGCTTTTCGTCCTTATAGCTATTACTACTGCTGTCACGAAACATCATGTGACGTATTATATTCTATTACATCTGTCTGTTCTGCTTATTCCTCAGTTATTTCATTTGCTTGCTGACACCACATAACACATCACAGCCAAGAGGGACAAAGATCGGTACAGTTTTGCATAGAAAACGAACAATCGCTGACAGTTCATGTACAACGCGTGTCCCGTGCGCAGTGTCCTCTGCACAAGGACACATTTATATTACAAAAACGCATTTCCCTTGGAGGGTAAAAGGCTTTATTTTTCTTGAATCATTATTAGCGCGCGGCATAGACGGATCCGTGAAACTGTTACGGAGGACGAGAGCAGATGCGCACAGGCGCTGCGGCGGCTCGTCCCTCCGGGAAGGGGAATGAGAAACTGAGTCAATCTGCAGAGGATGTAAGATTGTTATAAAAGCCACCATTTAGATGCATAACATTCGCCCTCTCCCTTTCTTTCCTTCATTCTTTCTTTTTTCTTTTTCTTTCTCTGTTCTTCCTTTTCCCATTAGTATTAAAATGTACAAGACTGTCTGCTGAAGAATTTCATGATGCACTACCTGTATTACTGTATTTTTCTTGTTTTGACATACAATGTTCAATGAAGATGGTTTCAAAAAGCAGAAATGGGGCGGACAGAAAAGTGCTGCAATGTGTGTAGCTGACGGAGATACATTTTAATTGACGAACCGGCGTTGCAGTGAACAGAGGAAACGTTATTGCGGCTGGTCTTACGGCTGACCCGCGGCGATCAGTCACGTTTTAAAAATGTTTTTATAGGATTATATACAAAAAACTCCGCATTTCCAGACAAAAACCAAATACCATGAAGGATGGGGCGGCTCAGTTGGGGCAGCGCTGTTTGGTACATCCTTTGCAGAAATAACAGCTGAAGACGACAAACAGCCAAAAATACAACAAAATAGGAGCCCCGAGTGAATATGTGCGCCATTCACAACATCACGAAGCCTCTGAAAAAGTCTAAACTTTCTACACCCTGTCCTCAGCTCAGTGAGACAATGTCAGCAACTGTCAGCGTACAGGTGGGTTCTGCTCTGCTGAAACGAAACAGATAAATATTCTCCTAAAATACAAACAAACAAGTAAATGAATAAACCAACATTTTCATAGCAATTTCTGTAAAATTCACTATTATTACTGAATGGCAGACTTGCTGCATAAAAGGCACATTTTCAGATTCTGACAGGCTTAGTTTTACAAGTTTCTCTCATGGAGAGGCTTCTGTACATGCTGCAATTAATTAATATACAGTTTAGGGTGTCAGACCCCAGTCCTGGGGGGCCACAGCCCTGTGCAGCTTAGTTCTTTCCCTGTTCCACCACAAATGATTCAGCTCAAGAGCTGTGTGGTAATTAGCACAAGGAGCTGAATCAGGTGTGTTAAATGAAGGTAAACCAAAAAATGTGCAGGGCTCCGGCCCCCCAGGACTGGAGTTTGACACCCCTGGTTTAAACACTATCCAGAGTCCACTTTCTGTGATAGTCATTGACACTACTGCTACTAGTAAGCTATTACTACTGCTACAAGTAGTATTACTACTAATATTATGTTATTTGTTAATTATTAATAATGTTTTTTTTAAATAAATAATTACATTGGGAACCTTTGGTATTCCTCTTGAGAAATGCCAAATCTGCTAATTTTTAGGATCCATTTTGCCAGTAAGATTCAATGATGCTTCATATAGTCGGATGACGCCCCTCTTGAGTGTCACTCGTTATGTGCCAGCGCACGTGCTGTAGTTTAGGGACATACTCTCAGCTGCCGGAAGGAGAACAGCAACAGGTTCTCTACTGCTTTTACTGGGCTGAAATTACGATGACCTTTGCTTGAAGAACATCATTTGTCAGAAAGGCTTTCCCCGTCATGTGCGTTTAATCTGTTGGTATGACGTCGGTCAAATTGGCAAATTACAACACTGCGTTTGAGCCAATCTGACATATGGCTAGTTTTCCAATTTATCTATCAATCCATCCATCCATCTTTCAATCACTTTTCCTAGACAGGTTTTCAGGGGAGGCTAGAGTCAGTCCCAGACAGCATATACCCTGGACAGGAAGCCAGTCCCTCAGCCCCCCCCCCCCCCAACACACACACAATCACACTATGGGACATTTTGAGGTGCCAATTAGCCCACAAGCCTTTAGAATATCAGGGGAAACTGGATATGGAGAACAGGAGAACATGCAAACTCCACACAGAGGGTGGAAGTGAGATTCAAAATTCTTTTTTGGATTTACTGATCGACTGATCCATAGATTACAGAAATTATTACGGGAACTGCTCTCGATCCAGTGTGAATAACCCTTAAGGTTATGTTGCTCTGCATGACGCAACATCGCATGGGGAGAGCTGTCATGGAGACAGTGGTAACCCATCTACACAAACACATGCCACGGAGAAGGCGGAAGCCTAATGAACACACCTGTGCACAGGTAATGCCTCCTAATTATCCGTGCAATGGTGTGAGTAACACCCCCACACACACACACACACACACACAGGCTCACTCCCGTATGGCCTCCGTGAGGCAGTGGTTTGTTGCGTCGCTGCCTTCTTGTCGCGGCTTGTTTGACTTGCGTGGCACCGCCCACGAGTTACTTATGACGGTGGCACTGGGGGCCGGGTCGACCTGGAGCAGGGACACCACCCGCTTCTTCACTCTGGTCCTGAAGGCACGCCGCAGCTTCTGGCGCGTAAAGGCGTAGAGCAGGGGGTGGAAGATGGTGGTGGCGTAGGCCACGGCCAGGAAGCAGAGGCGCACACGCACCAGCCGGTCGCTGGGCCCCAGGCTGAGGATCAGCATGTTCACCACAGAGATGGGCGCCCAGCAGAGCAGGAAGGACGAGATGATGACCAGGGACATCTTGAAGACGCGTCGCTGGCGCTCCCGCCGGTCGCGGTGCCGCCGCACAGCCCGCCGCAGGGCTATGATGGCCGACACTGAGGCCTGCACGCCCACCGTCGTCTGGCTGGGCACGAGAGCTGCCCCGCTGTCGGAGGCCGCCTGTGGTACCGAGGACAGCGCTGGGGGGGAGGTGGGGGTGGGCGTGGGAGAGGGTATGAGGGGAGGCTGTGAGAGGTATTTGGTCTGACTGGAGCAGCTCCCACCATCCTGACCCTCCTTGGGCCCCTTTCTTTTCTTGCGGCGCCTCCTGCAGGACGGGTCCTTCCGGCGCTGGCTTCTCTTGAGGTGCGAGCCGATGCGGATGCTGAGGGCCTGCAGGATTTTGAAATAGGTGAAGAGCATGACCAGGACGGCAGTGAAGAAGACGGGCACCTGCAGCAGCAGATGGTAGTACATGGCGAGCTTGGTGTGGTAGCCCTCCCCTCCCACGCACAGCAGCGTCCGGTTCTGCCACAGGGGGTCCTGGCTGGGGTCGTTCGACTCGCTGCCCGTCCCAGAGAAGAACTCCACCTCCAGGAAGGGGATGAAGAAGACGGCCAGCGACACCGCCCAGACGGCGGCCAGCAGCAGGGCGGCCCGGCGCGGAGTCAGGAGACGCGTGGCCGGCCGCACGGAGATGTCGTAGCGGTCCACGCTGATGACCAGCACGTTGACCGCGGTGGCGATGCTGGTGAAGGTGACGCAGGCCTCGTGGAAGCAGCAAAGCAGCGCCAGGTTGCCGTCCAGCGGCAGAAGGATGATGACCATGGTGAAGGGCAGGCAGAGCACGCACACGATGATGTCCAGCACGTGCAGGTTCACCGTCACCATGTTGCTGACCGAGTCGACCAGGTTGGACTGGGCGCAGTACAGCACGAGGACGGTGAGGTTACTGCTGAAGCCTAGAACCAGCTCAAGCATGAGGAAGCTGGTCAGGGACGCTTGGAAACCTATGGAATAGGGCACGTACCACCCAGAGTCCGAGCCGGCGTCCTCTGCGCCATTCAGCTCCCCCACGCCGACCAGGCCGTCGCTGGTCTCCAGGAGCTGCCTGTAGCTGTCAGTGTCCATGACGTCTGTCACGCGGCCTCACGTACAGCGACCCCTGCAGGCGCGCCGCTCCATGATCAGCTCTCAGCTCCACTCCCTTCTGGAATCAGGTTGGGGGGCTGAAGCTGGGCGGGGAGCAGTTTGGGGGACTGGAGAGGGCGAGAGACAACAGCGGGTTAGTGGGGTGGGGGGGTGGCACACTGAAGGAAGGCAGGGTGGGTCAACGGTACACATGAGAATACTAATGAGAGGATTCTGCTCCCCCATGCGCAGGCCAAGTCATACACTAGGAACCAGGATAACATCCTGTTATATACCACAGAGAGAACATGTTTACAGAAACAGAAATGTTGATTGTGGCCAAAGCACCTTATTTGGAGAGACCGTCGTGAGAAAGTCCTGGGCTGAAGTGGCCAAAAAAGTGACAACAGTGCAGGGGAGCAGTAGAGGGCAGCGTGAATAGAACAGACACATGGCCCAGCTGTTCACATCGCAGAGGTCATCTCCAGTCACAGAAGCCTGGGAGCTCTCTAGCGCCACCCACAGACGCTACATCAACACCACAAGTGCAAAGTTAAGCAGCCTGTGGGAACCTTCAATTCCACAGACGGCAAAGACCAAGCACAGAGAGCAACATGGAGATATTTACATCCTGTGTGACATTCTCTTTGTTTTACACTTGATATTCAGGCCAATGAACATTCACAAAGTGAAGCATTCTTGTATGGTGTGTGTGTGCATGCACTCAAAGATCAGCTTGGCATTTATAAGCTCACAGGCATCAGATACATCCACGCACTTCTGCAAAATGCGCTGGAACTGATCAATGTGGCATTTGACATAAAGAATCCACAGAGATATTAATCACAAGTGGAGAAGATACTATGTTAGCATAACATCCATACTAATAATGTTAGAGTAATTTCAATGTCTGATTCTCGTTAATTTTTCTAAAAAAAATCCTGCAGAATTACTCACAGTTTCTATGCCTAATTGGACACTGTGGTTATTGTAATTTATTGCACATTTCTGCAAGTTAATAAGCGAATCAGTTTCTGTTGGTTAAAGCCATTAGGGACAGTCAGGTGCTAATCTGAATGACTGAACAGACGCTGAGTGTAGCGGCACATAATTAAATTTGGGAAAAAAAAACGAGCGAGAAGGAGACACGAGTCAATCACCGAGCCGGGAGCATATTGACGAGGTCGGAAATCCAGATTCTTTGTAGCGTGTCCGACAGCTGCCTTCATCCATGTTTATAAAACGTACAATTACACAGTCCGGCTGGATTCCCGCTTTCACATGCCTCTACGTTACCTCCCTAAACGGTCTAACACTTTGACATCCGAACCTGCCAGCTTACTTCGGGATGTGTTAATCCAGAAAGCACTTAAACCATTCTTGGCTAAGTAAGTCTGTTTTTTGCAGAATATAGTTATATTTAAAATGGCTCTAATGGACAAGGTCCATGGATGATTGGCAAACCAATGCATTTTCATTAACTGCCTGTTAGTGTCCAATTTCTTAGTTCCAGCCTCCCCTGGAAATGCAGGGCTATGGGTCATTAGCATGTGAGCCAGCCGCCGTCTGCATGTAATGTGGGCCGTGCACCGCTGTTCTGGGGCGGGCAGCACCAGCCGGGGGAGCGGGGCATCGCTCAGGGCCGCACGTCAGGCCGGGGGAGCGGGGCATCGCTCAGGGCCGCACGTCAGGCCGTGGCCAGTCAGTAGGGAGGGACTGTGCCGCGGTTTGCTGAAGCACTCACAGACGCCAATTACGCTGTGCCACTGCCGAACCACCAGTGAAAACCTGGGGATTGAGGGCTCAGGGTAGACTTGCTGTAACCTCGGCCTCTGTGGGTCTGTGCGTGTGTGTGTGTGTGTGTGTGGATTACGTTTATATTACATTGTGGGGATCAAATATCCCCCACAATGTGATAAAAACCTGTTAATTTGACATTGTGGGGACCAATGTTCAATGTTTTCGGTCCAAAAAAGGAAAAATTCTAATTTATAAAAAATTGTGACTGCAATAAAAAAACAAAAAATGCCAAAAGACTGGTTTGGTTACTTATGGTTAAAGTTAGGCCTGGGTATGGTTAAGGTCGTCATTGTTAGGATTAGGGTTATACCCATAGAAATGAATGGACGGTCCCCACAATGACAGGAATGAGAAGGGGGACATAGAATTGCTGCTATGCTGTCGGCTTCACTCATGATACATGTGCATCACACACATACATCACACATGTACTGTATATCACACACAAACATCACACACATACATTACACACATACATCCATCACACATGTAAATTATACATGTACACCACACACATACATCACACACACATATTACACATGTACATCGCACACGTACATCACATGTGTACATTACATACATTACACATGTACATAACACACATACATTACACACACATTACATACATACATTACACATGTAAAACATTTTGCAAGGAACAGGTCAGTATGAGCCACGGGTCCCATGGCGACGGTGAGGACTGAAGAGGACGGGCATTCCTCACCGCAGGCATACGACAGTCCCCCAGGATGCACGCTGTGCCCGGGCTGACTGCACCACACGGAGCGTCTGCTGGGAATGTGGCAGCTGCATTTCACAGCTTCCGCACCTGCCTGTCACAGATCATCACACGCTACTACAGTCATATGACCGTAAGGCTGCACAACATCAAATATCTGAAAAAGCCCTACCTGACAAGTGACTAATTGTCATTGTTGACCCGCCACAGCACACGGTGCACAACAACGAAACGTGTCCTCTGCATTTAACCCATATGTGACATGGTAAATAGCAGGGGGCAGCTATTTCGGCACCTGGGGAGCAGTGCTTGGGGGCGGGACCTCGCTCAGGGTCCCTCAGTGGCGGCAACAATCAGATGCTAAAAACACTGGGGTTTTAGTTTAAGATACAGGTATCTACATATGCTGGGGTTACGTTCCAAATGTTAGGAAGTCATTTACAGGGGACAGGTCCAATACCATACAGCACAAGACACGATATCGCGCACATTTAACTAAATCTCTTCGAACATCTCTTGATAAATTTTATTAAGGCTCTTGTAGGACATAAGTATGATCAGCTGTTTCTCAGTGGGATGTATGTACTCTATGCTATACTGTAGCAGACATCTGTACACCACACACACATGTGGTGTCGTCTGCTGTATGAAATAGTAAAAGGCTTGTAGATGTTGGGACCCCATACTGGATAAGTGATTAGAAAGTGGGTGAAGCTCTGGTGCACAGCTATTCTCAGAAAAAAAGCACGTGATCATGGTAGAGTGTTGTGTCTCTCTCCTCCTCGCTCGCACTTCCGAAACAGCCCCCAAACTGGGACCGGGGCCACTGCCAGCCAAAAGCCAGGCTGTGACAGACTGCACTGGCCAAGGGAGGCCGCTGCCCTCCGGCCCTCACCGGCACCTTCGCACCCTAAAGTCAAAAGCGGGGGCAGCGCCCTGTCAGAGCCGGGCACCGGAGAGTCCGGAAGCGGTGATGATGTAAACCAGGCTGGTACCTGGGATCCTGTGACTCCGTCCCTCATCTGAAACAACCGAATGTTTCTGCTTGAAAGACTTCAACAAATCACATCGGTGAGATTTAAAAAAAAACCAAAAAAAACCCGAAACAAAACATTTTTGTCAATGCAGCAGGGAGTCAGTAATGAAGGCGCTGAACCCCCAGATCTCACAGGTAAACCTGTGCAGCTGTTTCTTGGCAGCAGGACTAATCAGGTTGTCCGGGTGATACACTGCCGCTGTGAATTGTTTACTGCTATCGCGAGCACAAGCGCATGTCCTGCGAGCACGATGAGGCTGCCCGTGCAGATTATTTTGCACCAGAGCGCTCGGGCAAAACCTAACTGGGCCTCTAACTGCTAAACACAACTCCTGAGGAGCAGCAGGTACGCGCACACACATACATGTACACACACACATACATGTACACACACACACACACGCATACATGTACACACACACATACACACATACATGTACACACACATACATGTACACACACACGCATACATGTACACACACACATACATGTACACACACACGCATACATGTACACACACATACACATACATGTACACACACACGTAAAAAAATGGTATCACTAATGTCAAAATCATAGGTTTTGTCACTTTGTGAGAACATTTGGTCCCCATGATGTAATACATATATGACCGACACACACACACAGAAACATACCCACACTCACACTTTCTGCATCTACAAGTTACTGTGAGACTGTAACAACCCTGCAGAAAATTAGCAATTGGGACACTTTCCAAAGGCTATATGCACACTTGGATACATGAATGTGACTTGGGGCAGCCTGCTTGGCCCAGTAGCTCTCCTGCTCTCCTGCTGGCCTCATACTGCAAATTAACACTGAACCCACAGCATTCAATACCAGTCAATTGTATTTTGGACATCACAAAAAGCACTTATTAAGAAAATTTTGGGAAAATCACTGCTCTTCCTTTAGCGGCTGTTACCTTAGCAACCGCTCTGTAGCTGAGCCCCGTGTCAGCCGGTGTGACCGTGGGAGTCAAGGCTAGAGCGTGTCGTTTTAGAGCCAAGGACTGGAGACAGAAGTGAGGCTGTGCCAGGGCGTCACGCACGGCGGCTGCTTGCCATCTCAGCCCACGGCGTCCCCTTCTCGCGAGACCGTGACATCCACAATCTCCTAGATCATATCACACTCGCCAGCTCCGACACAAACCCTTTCATTTCACTTCACTCGGGCCGCGACAGGCTGACAGAGACGTTTAATGGGGGAGCCTGATATACTGTCCGTCGGGTAGCGTCAAATGATCAGAGGAGAGGAAAATGATTAAGGACAAGGGCTCATAATCTGAACGGTGCCAGCAGAAGCCGCGTCAAGAACTTGACGTGCAGCAGCAAAACGTAAAGCTTTGCAAATGGCCGAAGCGACGGACCATAACAAAGAAGAGCAAAGGTGACAGGAGGGCAGAAAGGGAGGATGGGCAACTGAAATGGGAACTGGGAGCAATGAGATGTCTGGCGGCCTTTGTGTTCCGTTCATTACGGATTTCAAGTGGCAATAACGGGGAGAGAAGAGAGTGACCAGCCATCAGCAGG